CATTACTGGTTCCTGATGCACGTCATTTTATTTGTCAGATTGGATTCAAAATGGCTGACTGGCGGCCATTTTGTTTTAATGATTGGGCTTCTAGAGCCATGTCTCTTAAATGCTTTGACTGATTATGTTTAAATTTTATATATTCGTTATAAATCATGTTATATATATACATGTATTCAAAATGGTTGATTTTGAATGCTGTTCCAGAGCAAAATCTCTCAATATGGACAAGTACTTGTTTGACGATCAGATACAAATGTCAATCATTTTAATGTTAAAAAATCATATTTCTGACATGGTTATATTCCAGCTATATTACTATAAACAAAACTATATATCTTAAATTTGATAACTAACGGGGACTGTGCCATGCATGGTATAATGTAGTACAAAAGATAGTACAAGGAGACAACTTTCATACAGTGTGTACAGTGACTTGGTGTAACGGTCAAGTGCCGGAGCCTCGATCTCACCTTTATTCCAATAACCCGGATGTGACATTACGTCATTAATACAACGTAAATAATACATAGGAGTATCGACATATAAGTATAATATTGGTAGATACTTGGACATTACATCCCTTCTAACCTAGATAGAAAGTGTCACAAATAAAGTGTTAACTGTTACACATGCGCAAATATCAAACTTTATATAAACTAGTTTCAAACTTTAAACTCGATAGAAATGTAAGCAAAATCATGAAACGAAAAGGTTTGACTGACAGAAGTTGCGTCTTTGTTATTGTCAATGAATAGTGTCACTTTATGATAGTTGAGCGTTCAATTGTTCTGAGATAACAAATAAACATCAAGAGTTCATTAACATCAAATATAAGAGTTCATTACCATTGAATGTAAGAGTTCAATAACATCGAATATAAGAGTTCATTAACATCGAATATACATTTGTAAGAGTTCATTAACCTTCAGTAAACAAATGTTTACGTTTGTGTCTAAAACAATAACTGGTTAAATTTGAGGTGAGAGGTTACCAGTACGTCACCTCTAAGGTAAATCCTCAGCATTTACCTGCCTTACTACACTGAACATAATCTTTTAAATATGAAGGTGGTTGACGTTGGCGTTGCGGATGATCACGACGTGGAACATTCGCAGGTTGACTTGCAGAGCTTGGCGGAGTTGAATCTAACAAAGTGGACTCTTCAGTTTCGTCTTGTTCTGCTTCGCCTGTCTTGCCGTCATGTTCACCCTTCAACACTTTGAAACGAGATGAGCTTCTGGTTATTTTATGATCACCTTTCATCGCGGTTATCATGGAACCATTTGTATCTGTAACTCTATATGGATGTGTGATGTATGGGGTTGTATCTTTTCTGATGTACCCATCCCGTTTTATCAGCACAGTATCACCCACTTGAATTTGCTTCTTGTTAGTATTCTCGCGATTGTCCGCATTTAATTTCATACGTGTTTTTTGTTCCTTATCGCATTGACGTAGCTTGCTGTCAGCATGGCTAGGTGTGCTGATTTCCGGTAAACGTACTCGCATTGGTTTTTTCAGCAATAATGATGCGAGTGGTACACTGGTTGTCGTGTGTGGTGTGGCTCTGTAGTTACGTAAGAATCTGTATAACTGTTGTTTCCACGCCTTGCCTTCAATATGTGCTATGCGATATATTTTCTTCATGGTGCGCATAAATCGCTCGACCTCACCGTTTGCACGGGGCCATCTTGGTGTTATTTTGCGATGCTTGAAACCAAGATCTTTTGCAAATGCTGCAAATTCAATGCTGGAGAATGGTGGGCCGTTGTCAGAGCGAACTATTCTAGGTATTCCAAACAGCGCAAATATGCTATCTAGTTTTGGAATAACGAATCTAGATGCGGTTGAACTTATTACCTCTACTACGGGGTAACGGCTGTAGTCATCAGTTACCACTAGGTTATGTCCACCATTTGGTAAATCACTGAAATCAACGCTGACTTCCTCCCATGGACCCTTAGGTAGCACTGACATTTTTAGTGGTTCGCGTCCACCTTCCACGGTGTTCAGTTGACATGGAGTACATGACTCAACAGTTTCTTTCACCATATTATCGATTCCAGGGAACCAAACTTTCTCTCTTAAGAGCTGTTTTGTTTTAACGATGCCTTGATGGCCCTCATGTGCAATATTGATGATTGCTTGTTGTAGATCTTCAGGTATTACGATTCGGCTATTGCGAAGTAGTAGGTCGCTGGATGAATGTACTGTTAGCTCATTTTTCACAGCGTACAGACATTTCAGTGTGTTTTCCTCCTTTGTATTAGTAGACTGTGAGATAACTTCATCCCACTTGCCAGTTTGTAAGGCTTGCATGCACAGTAACAAAGGTGTATCAGTCTTTGTCGCTGCTTGGATGTCTTCAATCTGTACTGTTTTAGGCGTAGCATGCTGTATGATGGAATTTATGTGTTCTTCAGCCATTTTCTCTTCCCTGCTGGTTGGTTTGACAGAAGATAGTGGATGTCGAGACATGTAGTCTGCTGGATTAAGTTTTCCAGGTCGGTATGACACTTTAAAATCATACTGCTGAAGTTTGAGAATCCATCGTTCTATGCGTGCTGGAGGTTTTGCAGTTGAACTGTTGAAAAGCGGTACTAAGGGCATATGATCGGACATCACCTCAAACTTGTGTCCGTATAGGTATAAGTGGTAGTGAAGCACTCCCCATGTCACCGCCAGGGCTTCTCGTTCAACTTGTGAATATCGTTGCTCAACAGGTGTTAGAGATCGACTGGCTAGTGATATAACAGCAACACTGCCAGTACTATCACGCTGTGTAAGAATAGCACCCAGGCCAACTGGACTTGCATCTACAAGTACTTCTGTCTGTCTGACTGGATCAAAGTAGGCCATTTTACAGTTGACTGAGATCTTGTCTTTGATTTGTTACAGTGCTTGTTCTTGTCGCTTTCCCCATTTCCAGGTCACGTTATTTTTCGTAAGTTCACGAAGTGGTTCAGTAATGGTTGCCAAATTTGGAATGAACCGACTGCAGTAATTCGCCATGCCAAGTAGACTCTTTATTTCTGCTACATTTTGTGGTCTTTTTGCTTCATTTAGCGCTGCAACTTTCTTGGGGTCTGGTGAAACTCCACCCTTACTGAATACATGCCCATAAAATTTGACTGTGCCCTTGCTGAATCTGCACTTCTGCTGATTTAGTGTAATTTCACGATCACGGAGTCATTTGAGACATGCTTCTAGGTTGGCATCATGACATTGCTGATCACGACCATATATTAGTATGTCGTCACTTATGTTAAGTACTCCCTTCAAGCCTTGCAGTGCAGATCTAATCATATTCTGAAATACTTCGGCTGCTGAGCACACACCAAAATTAAGACGTTTATATCTGTATAAACCGTTGTGTGTTGAGAATACGGTTAGATGACGAGACTCTGGAGCTAACTCTATCTGATGGTACCCAGAGTTCAAATCAAGTTTTGAGAACACAGTTGCTCCATTTAAGTCAGCAATTATGTCATCAAGCGTTGGTGTGACATGGCGTTCACGCAATATTGCCTTATTTGCTGATCGTATGTCAACACAGATCCGAATCTCACCTGGTTTTTTCGGCTTTTCTACCACGGTTATAGGTGACACCCATGGTGTTGGCTCATCTCCAACCCGTTCAATAATATCTAAGTTCAACAGTCTCTGTAGCTCTTCTTCTGTCTTTGCACGAACATGAAACGGTACCCTACGATGTGGCTGTACAACAGGCTTTACAGTTTTGTCTTCATGAAGTACACACTGGACTCCTTTCAGTTTGCCAATTCCTGTTGAATCTGTCACTATACTTTGTAACTATTTGGTCAGTAAGTGATTTGCCTGGTGTAATCTGATATGCAATATACACTATACTCAGCTTGGATGCAGTAGTATATCCTAGTAATGTGTCTCCATTTTTCTTGGTTACAAGAAATTCTGCTACAGTGTTATGGTCCTTGTATTGCAATTTAGCATGAAAAGTACCAACTATATTTAACGGTTCACTGCTACAATATGCGTATACATTACTGGTGCTTTGCATGTGCAACTTTGGTTGGTTTTTCAGGTGTTTGTAGGTTTCCAGACTCATTAAATTCACAGTAGAACCAGTATCAATCAATGAAGCAATTGGTGTCTGTTCTATGTATAATGTTATTCTGGGCTGACTGTTCGAATATTGTGTCACAGTAAAGCAGTAGTCATCGTCGGAGCTACATGTGTAATCACATTGATGAACAGCTTTGACGTTTTCTGCTTTTTCAGACTGCTTTAATTTACCCTTTGAACGACAGCATTTCGCATAGTGATTAAGTTTACCACATGAATTACAAGACTTGCCTTTTGCTGGGCATACGGTATCGTGTGGATAGCTTCCACCACAATTATAGCATTTAGAAGATTGTTTAGTCGACTGTTTATCTTGCCGAGACTTGCCGTTGCGCTGTGGACGGTGTCGTTGTTGGCGATGTTTTCTGATTGTATTCACTGAAGTTGCACTCGCACTGGGGACGTTTCTTCCCTCCATTCCAGTCGCTTGAACTTCAGACACTTCGAATGAACGAGCAGAACTTAATAAATTATCGAGCGTAGTTTCCTCCCTGAGCGCACGACGTCTGAGCCGGGCTGAGGTGCAACCACGTATTATTTGAGATTTGACCTCTTGAGATTTATCGGTGAAATCACAAGTGTTCGCCAAACGTTGTAAACGAGTGTGAAATGCATCGATTGACTCACCACTGTTCTGCATGGTATCTCTGAATACAAATCTTTCATATTCAATGTTTCGTTTTGGTGAGAAATATTCTGTTAACTTGGTTTTGGCAGTTTTAAAATCGCTTCCGGTTTCTGATAGCGTGTCAAAAACATCGTCTACTTCTTCACCCGCCCAGTGTAGTAACAGCGTGCGCTGGCGCTTGTCGTCTGTGATGTTGAAAGCAACAAATGCATTTTCTACCCTGTTCAGGTACTTCTTCCATCTTGTACTTGTTGTTGTTGGATCGGAGTGAACTGGGAACATCGGTAGTGATGGTAAACTCTCCATCCTCGTCGCCAATATAATGTAGTACAAAAGATAGTACAAGGAGACAACTTTCGTACAGTGTGTACAGTGACTTGGTGTAACGGTCAAGTGCCGGAGCCTCGATCTCACCTTTATTCCAATAACCCGGATGTGACATTACGTCATTAATACAACGTAAATAATACATAGGAGTATCGACATATAAGTATAATATTGGTAGATACTTGGACATTACATCCCTCCTAACCTAGATAGAATGTGTCACAAATAAAGTGTTAACTGTCACACATGCGCAAATATCAAACTTTATATAAACTAGTTTCAAACTTTAAACTCGATAGAAATGTAAGCAAAATCATGAAACGAAAAGGTTTGACTGACAGAAGTTGCGTCTTTGTTATTGTCAATGAATAGTGTCACTCTATGATAGTTGAGCGTTCAATTGTTCTGAGATAACAAATAAACATCAAGAGTTCATTAACATCAAATATAAGAGTTCATTACCATTGAATGTAAGAGTTCAATAACATCGAATATAAGAGTTCATTAACATCGAATATAAGAGTTCATTAACCTTCAGTAAACAAATGTTTACGTTTGTGTCTAAAACAATAACTGGTTAAATTTGAGGTGAGAGGTTACCAGTACGTCACCTCTAAGGTAAATCCTCAGCATTTACCTGCCTTACTACACCGAACATAATCTTTTAAATATGAAGGTGGTTGACGTTGGCGTTGCGGATGATCACGACGTGGAACATTCGCAGGTTGACTTGCAGAGCTTGACGGAGTTGAATCTAACAAAGTGGACTCTTCAGTTTCGTCTTGTTCTGCTTCGCCTGTCTTGCCGTCATGTTCACCCTTCAACACTTTGAAACGAGATGAGTTTCTGGTTATTTTATGATCACCTTTCATCGCGGTTATCATGGAACCATTTGTATCTGTAACTCTATATGGATGTGTGATGTATGGGGTTGTATCTTTTCTGATGTACCCATCCCGTTTTATCAGCACAGTATCACCCACTTGAATTTGCTTCTTGTTAGTATTCTCGCGATTGTCCGCATTTAATTTCATACGTGTTTTTTGTTCCTTATCGCGTTGACGTAGCTCGCTGTCAGCATGGCTAGGTGTGCTGATTTCCGGTAAACGTACTCGCATTGGTTTTTTCAGCAATAATGATGCGGGTGGTACACTGGTTGTCGTGTGTGGTGTGGCTCTGTAGTTACGTAAGAATCTGTATAACTGTTGTTTCCACGCCTTGCCTTCAATATGTGCTATGCGATATATTTTCTTCATGGTGCGCATAAATCGCTCGACCTCACCGTTTGCACGGGGCCATCTTGGTGTTATTTTGCGATGCTTGAAACCAAGATCTTTTGCAAATGCTGCAAATTCAATGCTGGAGAATGGTGGGCCGTTGTCAGAGCGAACTATTCTGGGTATTCCAAACAGCGCAAATATGCTATCTAGTTTTGGAATAACGAATCTAGATGCGGTTGAACTTATTACCTCTACTACGGGGTAACGGCTGTAGTCATCAGTTACCACTAGGATATGTCCACCATTTGGTAAATCACTGAAATCAACGCTGACCTCCTCCCATGGACCCTTAGGTAGCACTGACATTTTTAGTGGTTCGCGTCCACCTTCCACGGTGTTCAGTTGACATGGAGTACATGACTCAACAGTTTCTTTCACCATATTATCGATTCCAGGGAACCAAACTTTCTCTCTTAAGAGCTGTTTTGTTTTAACGATGCCTTGATGGCCCTCATGTGCAATATTGATGATTGCTTGTTGTAGAGCTTCAGGTATTACGATTCGGCTATTGCGAAGTAGTAGGTCGCTGGATGAATGTACTGTCAGCTCATTTTTCACAGCATACAGACATTTCAGTGTGTTTTTCTCCTTTGTATTAGTAGACTGTGAAATAACTTCATCCCACTTGCCAGTTTGTAAGGCTTGCATGCACAGTAACAAAGGTGTATCAGTCTTTGTCGCTGCTTGGATGTCTTCAATCTGTACTGTTTTAGGCGTAGCATGCTGTATGATGGAATTTATGTGTTCTTCAGCCATTTTCTCTTCCCTGCTGGTTGGTTTGACAGAAGATAGTGGATGTCGAGACATGTAGTCTGCTGGATTAAGTTTTCCAGGTCGGTATGACACTTTAAAATCATACTGCTGAAGTTTGAGAATCCATCGTTCTATGCGTGCTGGAGGTTTTGCAGTTGGACTGTTGAAAAGCGGTACTAAGGGCATATGATCGGACATCACCTCAAACTTGTGTCCGTATAGGTATAAGTGGTAGTGAAGCACTCCCCATGTCACCGCCAGGGCTTCTCGTTCAACTTGTGAATATCGTTGCTCAACAGGTGTTAGAGATCGACTGGCTAGTGATATAACAGCAACACTGCCAGTACTATCACACTGTGTAAGAATAGCACCCAGGCCAACTGGACTTGCATCTACAAGTACTTCTGTCTGTCTGACTGGATCAAAGTAGGCCATTTTACAGTTGACTGAGATCTTGTCTTTGATTTGTTGCAGTGCTTGTTCTTGGCGCTTTCCCCATTTCCAGGTCACGTTATTTTTTGTAAGTTCACGAAGTGGTTCAGTAATGGTTGCCAAATTTGGAATGAACCGACTGCAGTAATTCGCCATGCCAAGTAGACTCTTTATTTCTGCTACATTTTGTGGTCTTTTTGCTTCATTTAGCGCTGCAACTTTCTTGGGGTCTGGTGAAACTCCACCCTTACTGAATACATGCCCATAAAATTCGACTGTGCCCTTGCTGAATCTGCACTTCTGCTGATTTAGTGTAATTTCACGATCACGGAGTCGTTTGAGACATGCTTCTAGGTTGGCATCATGACATTGCTGATCACGACCATATATTAGTATGTCGTCACTTATGTTAAGTACTCCCTTCAAGCCTTGCAGTGCAGATCTAATCATATTCTGAAATACTTCGGCTGCTGAGCACACACCAAAATTAAGACGTTTATATCTGTATAAACCGTTGTGTGTTGAGAATACGGTTAGATGACGAGACTCTGGAGCTAACTCTATCTGATGGTACCCAGAGTTCAAATCAAGTTTTGAGAACACAGTTGCTCCATTTAAGTCAGCAATTATGTCATCAAGCGTTGGTGTGACATGGCGTTCACGCAATATTGCCTTATTTGCTGATCGCATGTCAACACAGATCCGAATCTCACCTGGTTTTTTCGGCTTTTCTACCACGGTTATAGGTGACACCCATGATGTTGGCTCATCTCCAACCCGTTCAATAATATCTAAGTTCAACAGTCTCTGTAGCTCTTCTTCTGTCTTTGCACGAACATGAAACGTACCCTACGATGTGGCTGTACAACAGGCTTTACAGTTTTGTCTTCATGAAGTACACACTGGACTCCTTTCAGTTTGCCAATGCCGTTGAATCTGTCACTATACTTTGTAACTATTTGGTCAGTAAGTGATTTGCCTGGTGTAATCTGATATGCAATATACACTATACTCAGCTTGGATGCAGTAGTATATCCTAGTAATGTGTCTCCATTTTTCTTGGTTACAAGAAATTCTGCTACAGTGTTATGGTCCTTGTATTGCAATTTAGCATGAAAAGTACCAACTATATTTAACGGTTCACTGCTACAATATGCGTATACATTACTGGTGCTTTGCATGTGCAACTTTGGTTGGTTTTTCAGGTGTTTGTAGGTTTCCAGACTCATTAAATTCACAGTAGAACCAGTATCAATCAATGAAGCAATTGGTGTCTGTTCTATGTATAATGTTATTCTGGGCTGACTGTTCGAATATTGTGTCACAGTAAAGCAGTAGTCATCGTCGGAGCTACATGTGTAATCACATTGATGAACAGCTTTGACGTTTTCTGCTTTTTCAGACTGCTTTAATTTACCCTTTGAACGACAGCATTTCGCATAGTGATTAAGTTTACCACATGAATTACAAGACTTGCCTTTTGCTGGGCATACGGTATCGTGTGGATAGCTTCCACCACAATTATAGCATTTAGAAGATTGTTTAGTCGACTGTTTATCTTGCCGAGACTTGCCGTTGCGCTGTGGACGGTGTCGTTGTTGGCGATGTTTTCTGATTGTATTCACTGAAGTTGCACTCGCACTGGGGACGTTTCTTCCCTCCATTCCAGTCGCTTGAACTTCAGACACTTCGAATGAACGAGCAGAACTTAATAAATTATCGAGCGTAGTTTCCTCCCTGAGCGCACGACGTCTGAGCCGGGCTGAGGTGCAACCACGTATTATTTGAGACTTGACCTCTTGAGATTTATCGGTGAAATCACAAGTGTTCGCCAAACGTTGTAAACGAGTGTGAAATGCATCGATTGACTCACCACTGTTCTGCATGGTATCTCTGAATACAAATCTTTCATATTCAATGTTTCGTTTTGGTGAGAAATATTCTGTTAACTTGGTTTTGGCAGTTTTAAAATCGCTTCCGGTTTCTGATAGCGTGTCAAAAACATCGTCTACTTCTTCACCCGCCCAGTGTAGTAACAGCGCGCGCTGGCGCTTGTCGTCTGTGATGTTGAAAGCAACAAATGCATTTTCCACCCTGTTCAGGTACTTCTTCCATCTTGTACTTGTTGTTGTTGGATCGGAGTGAACTGGGAACATCGGTAGTGATGGTAAACTCTCCATCCTCGTCGCCAATATAATGTAGTACAAAAGATAGTACAAGGAGACAACTTTCGTACAGTGCGTACAGTGACTTGGTGTAACGGTCAAGGTCCGGAGCCTCCATCTCACCTTTATTCCAATAACCCGGATGTGACATTACGTCATTAATACAACGTAAATAATACATAGGAGTATCGACATATAAGTATAATATTGGTAGATACTTGGACATTACATCCCTCCTAACCTAGATAGAAAGTGTCACAAATAAAGTGTTAACTGTTACACATGCGCAAATATCAAACTTTATATAAACTAGTTTCAAACTTTAAACTCGATAGAAATGTAAGCAAAATCATGAAACGAAAAGGTTTGACTGACAGAAGTTGCGTCTTTGTTATTGTCAATGAAGAGTGTCACTTTATGATAGTTGAGCGTTCAATTGTTCTGAGATAACAAATAAACATCATGAGTTCATTAACATCAAATATAAGAGTTCATTACCATTGAATGTAAGAGTTCAATAACATCGAATATAAGAGTTCATTAACATCGAATATAAGAGTTCATTAACCTTCAGTAAACAAATGTTTACGTTTGTGTCTAAAACAATAACTGGTTAAATTTTAGGTGAGAGGTTACCAGTACGTCACCTCTAAGGTAAATCCTCAGCATTTACCTGCCTTACTACACCGAACATAATCTTTTAAATATGAAGGTGGTTGACGTTGGCGTTGCGGATGATCACGACGTGGAACATTCGCAGGTTGACTTGCAGAGCTTGGCGGAGTTGAATCTAACAAAGTGGACTCTTCAGTTTCGTCTTGTTCTGCTTCGCCTGTCTTGCCGTCATGTTCACCCTTCAACACTTTGAGACGAGATGAGTTTCTGGTTATTTTATGATCACCTTTCATCGCGGTTATCATGGAACCATTTGTATCTGTAACTCTATATGGATGTGTGATGTATGGGGTTGTATCTTTTCTGATGTACCCATCCCGTTTTATCAGCACAGTATCACCCACTTGAATTTGCTTCTTGTTAGTATTCTCGCGATTGTCCGCATTTAATTTCATACGTGTTTTTTGTTCCTTATCGCGTTGACGTAGCTCGCTGTCAGCATGGCTAGGTGTGCTGATTTCCGGTAAACGTACTCGCATTGGTTTTTTCAGCAATAATGATGCGGGTGGTACACTGGTTGTCGTGTGTGGTGTGGCTCTGTAGTTACGTAAGAATCTGTATAACTGTTGTTTCCACGCCTTGCCTTCAATATGTGCTATGCGATATATTTTCTTCATGGTGCGCATAAATCGCTCGACCTCACCGTTTGCACGGGGCCATCTTGGTGTTATTTTGCGATGCTTGAAACCAAGATCTTTTGCAAATGCTGCAAATTCAATGCTGGAGAATGGTGGGCCGTTGTCAGAGCGAACTATTCTGGGTATTCCAAACAGCGCAAATATGCTATCTAGTTTTGGAATAACGAATCTAGAAGCGGTTGAACTTATTACCTCTACTACGGGGTAACGGCTGTAGTCATCAGTTACCACTAGGATATGTCCACCATTTGGTAAATCACTGAAATCAACGCTGACCTCCTCCCATGGACCCTTAGGTAGCACCGACATTTTTAGTGGTTCGCGTCCACCTTCCACGGTGTTCAGTTGACATGGAGTACATGACTCAACAGTTTCTTTCACCATATTATCGATTCCAGGGAACCAAACTTTCTCTCTTAAGAGCTGTTTTGTTTTAACGATGCCTTGATGGCCCTCATGTGCAATATTGATGATTGCTTGTTGTAGAGCTTCAGGTATTACGATTCGGCTATTGCGAAGTAGTAGGTCGCTGGATGAATGTACTGTCAGCTCATTTTTCACAGCATACAGACATTTCAGTGTGTTTTTCTCCTTTGTATTAGTAGACTGTGAAATAACTTCATCCCACTTGCCAGTTTGTAAGGCTTGCATGCACAGTAACAAAGGTGTATCAGTCTTTGTCGCTGCTTGGATGTCTTCAATCTGTACTGTTTTAGGCGTAGCATGCTGTATGATGGAATTTATGTGTTCTTCAGCCATTTTCTCTTCCCTGCTGGTTGGTTTGACAGAAGATAGTGGATGTCGAGACATGTAGTCTGCTGGATTAAGTTTTCCAGGTCGGTATGACACTTTAAAATCATACTGCTGAAGTTTGAGAATCCATCGTTCTATGCGTGCTGGAGGTTTTGCAGTTGGACTGTTGAAAAGCGGTACTAAGGGCATATGATCGGACATCACCTCAAACTTGTGTCCGTATAGGTATAAGTGGTAGTGAAGCACTCCCCATGTCACCGCCAGGGCTTCTCGTTCAACTTGTGAATATCGTTGCTCAACAGGTGTTAGAGATCGACTGGCTAGTGATATAACAGCAACACTGCCAGTACTATCACGCTGTGTAAGAATAGCACCCAGGCCAACTGGACTTGCATCTACAAGTACTTCTGTCTGTCTGACTGGATCAAAGTAGGCCATTTTACAGTTGACTGAGATCTTGTCTTTGATTTGTTGCAGTGCTTGTTCTTGGCGCTTTCCCCATTTCCAGGTCACGTTATTTTTCGTAAGTTCACGAAGTGGTTCAGTAATGGTTGCCAAATTTGGAATGAACCGACTGCAGTAATTCGCCATGCCAAGTAGACTCTTTATTTCTGCTACATTTTGTGGTCTTTTTGCTTCATTTAGCGCTGCAACTTACTTGGGGTCTGGTGAAACTCCACCCTTACTGAATACATGCCCATAAAATTCGACTGTGCCCTTGCTGAATCTGCACTTCTGCTGATTTAGTGTAATTTCACGATCACGGAGTCGTTTGAGACATGCTTCTAGGTTGGCATCATGACATTGCTGATCACGACCATATATTAGTATGTCGTCACTTATGTTAAGTACTCCCTTCAAGCCTTGCAGTGCAGATCTAATCATATTCTGAAATACTTCGGCTGCTGAGCACACACCAAAATTAAGACGTTTATATCTGTATAAACCGTTGTGTGTTGAGAATACGGTTAGATGACGAGACTCTGGAGCTAACTCTATCTGATGGTACCCAGAGTTCAAATCAAGTTTTGAGAACACAGTTGCTCCATTTAAGTCAGCAATTATGTCATCAAGCGTTGGTGTGACATGGCGTTCACGCAATATTGCCTTATTTGCTGATCGCATGTCAACACAGATCCGAATCTCACCTGGTTTTTTCGGCTTTTCTACCACGGTTATAGGTGACACCCATGATGTTGGCTCATCTCCAACCCGTTCAATAATATCTAAGTTCAACAGTCTCTGTAGCTCTTCTTCTGTCTTTGCACGAACATGAAACGGTACCCTACGATGTGGCTGTACAACAGGCTTTACAGTTTTGTCTTCATGAAGTACACACTGGACTCCTTTCAGTTTGCCAATGCCGTTGAATCTGTCACTATACTTTGTAACTATTTGGTCAGTAAGTGATTTGCCTGGTGTAATCTGATATGCAATATACACTATACTCAGCTTGGATGCAGTAGTATATCCTAGTAATGTGTCTCCATTTTTCTTGGTTACAAGAAATTCTGCTACAGTGTTATGGTCCTTGTATTGCAATTTAGCATGAAAAGTACCAACTATATTTAACGGTTCACTGCTACAATATGCGTATACATTACTGGTGCTTTGCATGTGCAACTTTGGTTGGTTTTTCAGGTGTTTGTAGGTTTCCAGACTCATTAAATTCACAGTAGAACCAGTATCAATCAATGAAGTAACTGGTGTCTGTTCTATGTATAATGTTATTCTGGGCTGACTGTTCGAATATTGTGTCACAGTAAAGCAGTAGTCATTGTCGGAGCTACATGTGTGATCCCATTGATGAACAGCTTTGACGTTTTCTGCTTTTTCAGACTGCTTTAATTTACCCTTTGAACGACAGCATTTCGCATAGTGATTAAGTTTACCACATGAATTACAAGACTTGCCTTTTGCTGGGCATACGGTATCGTGTGGATAGCTTCCACCACAATTATAGCATTTAGAAGATTGTTTAGTCGACTGTTTATCTTGCCGAGACTTGCCGTTGCGCTGTGGACGGTGTCGTTGTTGGCGATGTTTTCTGATTGTATTCACTGAAGTTGCACTCGCACTGGGGACGTTTCTTCCCTCCATTCCAGTCGCTTGAACTTCAGACACTTCGAATGAACGAGCAGAACTTAATAAATTATCGAGCGTAGTTTCCTCCCTGAGCGCACGACGTCTGAGCCGGGCTGAGGTGCAACCACGTATTATTTGAGACTTGACCTCTTGAGATTTATCGGTGAAATCACAAGTGTTCGCCAAACGTTGTAAACGAGTGTGAAATGCATCGATTGACTCACCACTGTTCTGCATGGTATCTCTGAATACAAATCTTTCATATTCAATGTTTCGTTTTGGTGAGAAATATTCTGTTAACTTGGTTTTGGCAGTTTTAAAATC